AACTGTTGTGTGACGTCACGACGGACAAGGAAAACACAGCTTCCTCTAATGTTGCGCGTTAGACCCTGTTTACAGAGCTGTTGTCTGGCAACGCGTTCACCAAACCCGTTACAATATTAAGGAATTATGGCAGAATTTGCCTGGAAGAACTGATGAAAATCACGAAAGCTTCAGACTGGATAGCAGCCTCCAGATCACGGCCAGATCCAATGATATTTCGAACGCAAATCCGAGGTACTAACGTTGCTTCGGCTAAAACATCGCGTCTCCATTAAAAATATAAAGAATGCAAGGAAACAGTTCCTGTTTATTAAGGGACTCGTTACATACCCACAAATACAATCTACTGAGAACTACAGAGATTTCTAATGTCAGTCCACTAGGAAACCTGTTTCTGCAACATGTTTTAAAGTGAATGTGCTATAACGAAGTGATGAGAACACTTGAGAGTAAAGGCAAAGTTAAAGTTGTCCCTCTGCTTAATTAAGCACCAACCTTAATGCCACGTAGATGTATGGCGTAGTCATTATATAGCACAACATCAGATGGGAGCGAGTGGTTAGCGCAAGGCCCCGACTACTTTATTCCCGGGCAAAGATCACCCAGTACTCACTGTACAGGATGCTGGGTAGGCTGTAGAACCGGGCACAGTTGAGAGGAGAACACAAGGAATTCTGGGACGAATTAATCGCCTACTTCCCTATCACCACATACTGAGTATTTGACACGACATGAATCCAACAAATGTTTTCAATGCAATGCGACATAACGCCTGAAAGCCGGAATACTGGAGGCAGAAGAGATAGTTGTTGATAGGTAAACACATTCCCACGGCAACAAATACTCATGCAAAGAAATTGTTAGGGGAGACACACAGACAGCAACATGATCTCACAGGCTTCAATTTATAGTTTACAAATATGGAAAGTAGCCTAATAATGTCTGCCTTGCCGGGAATAGAACCCCGGCAGTCCAGTCTATGGCCCGGTTACAATATTTACTGAGAAGTACAAGGGAATTTTTAAGAAAATAGTTCAATCCAAGTCACAAGCTAAATAAGAACACTTTTACTATAGATACATGAATTTATACAAGTTGGTTTTCCAGCAGCCGAAATATCAGCAAGAAACAGAACAATTATTTACACTGACAAATGAAAAGAAGATATTAATAAAGGTAAAGTTAAAGTACTCCCTGTGCTCAACTAATTAAGCACTACGCCAAGAAGGCGTATGAGGGAGCGGATGTATAGATCCACATTTTCTTGACTTCGGCATTGGCTGGAGGTGAGTTGTCAGCTTCACGCCCCTGTCGCTTTACCCCGGGGAAGGAGTCTGCTGGTACCCATTGGATATGAGGCTTGGTGGGTCTCAGAGCCGGTCTGGATCATATGCAGAAGTGAAAATTCTTGCCCCCACTGGGACTCGAACTCCGACCCCTCGGTCGTCCAGCCCTTAGCCAGTCGCTATACCGACTGCGCTACCCCGGCTCATTAATTTTAATATTAATGAATACTTTTACACATTATTTTATTTACGAATATATATATTATATTTACGCCATTTGAACTTAAAGGCTATCGTCTTCAGGGAGCTGACGTCACGGAGTCGAGTAGAAGCTTTCCGACGTAATGGACATCTGTAAGCTTCCATCAACCTACACGGCGTCACATCTCAGACGATACCACTCTTCTCACACACCGCCGTGAGAATCTCGAACTCCGCGTCATTTCAGTTACCTGTAACTACGCGGATTTTTACATGCCCGCGTGTAAAATCATTTCGCGGAGCAGCCAAGTGACTGGTTACTGAAGTGGCTTAATACGTCAAGTGTGTGTGGCATTAGAAAAGCCTGGATTCAGTCTCATACAAAATCCGCCGGTATTTTGGTTTTCAAAGAAAGAGACTTCTGTCTGTCTACCATAATTCCATAGTTCCCCTGAGCTCTAATACGTCCACTGCTTACATAACACATCGTGACAAGATAACAGCGAAACAAAAGAAAACAAACAGGTGCTTAAGCCATTGTATATTTATCTTCTCACGAATATTTGAGCATAGTTTTATGATCATGAACATACGAGAGAGTTGAACAGCGAAATACATTTCCCACTTCATGGGATGAGTTGGGAAATCTATCGAGTTCTAGATACACACGACATACTGTATATAAAATTAGAGGGAACTGTACGTTACAGTGCCCTAGGAAAACTTTAATACCGACTGTACACTTGGTCGCCTATTGACGACCGACTTCCATTCTGACTGATAGGTCGTAAGTTGATCTGGTCGCATGTCGGCCATATATTTATTAACAGCATTTTTTAAACTTTCTAATCTTTTTACCATCTTTATAATTTATTTTTAAAAAGTCGACGACCAAGTGTAACTGAAAATGACTCAATATTTATTGTGTTCTGTTCAATAATTGTTCTCTGTATTATATGCCTTAGAAATTATCTGAGAAGAAACATTCCAGTGACAAATGGAAAAGGGTTAAGCCGCTCTGCTCACAAAATTTGGGCAAAGAAGTTTAATGGCTTATTGGTAGAAGTAAAAAAGGAATAATTAAAAGGAAAGGATGAAACAAACAAAAACGAGCGAACGGAACAGGAAGCGAAAATGAAATGCAGAGATACATACACAAAAAGACAAGAGAGATAAGGAACGAAAGAGAGAATAGAATAAAATAACAGGCAAATAAAAGGTGAAACAACAAATAATCATGTAAGATTTGAGGCTTTCTTCAACAAATAATTAAGTGGAAAAAGTAAGGAAAGTGAACGAAAGGGGAAAAGAAAGGAGGAAAAAAAAAGAGACAACCAAAGCCCGCTGAGTAGCCGTATGTTTATGCACCCGTAGCATGAATTTCAGATTCGTGATTTGGTTCTCAGAAACCTGCCACAAATGACGGAAACATACAAGTATACAAGTCGTTTGGAATCCTCCTACATCTGAGTTCTGCTGTAGTTCTCGGAAACAGTTCATAACCAACACGGTCAAAAGAACCAATAATTTTATTTACATTTCACACAGACATTTTCGAGTCTTGCTTTACATAAACCTTACTTCACAGAGAATTATGTACTTACATCGCACATGTCGCAATCAGCCCTAACTCACCCTTATTAACTGTAGCTTCAACCCAACGAAAAAGCAACCCCTATTCCTGACAGTCCATTTCCAACTAAAACTTAACAGTAATCTTGTTGGATATGTATATCCACTCCCCCATACGCCTTCATGGAGTAGAGCCGAATTAGTTAAGCACGGGGACAGCTTTACCTTTCACTGAACTACTCAATGGAAAATCTAGCGGTTTACCTTTACTGTAAGACGACCAGTTAATTAGAAAGGTCAAGTCAAGGAGGATGAGGTGAGCAGGGCATGTAGCACGAATGGGAGAGACGAGGAATGCGTATAGGATATTGGTGGGAAAGCCAGAAGGAAAGAAACCACTGGGAAGACCAAGGCGTAGGTGGGTAGACAATATATGATATAAATTCCGTCCCAAGTGTAACAATTTATTGTAGGTCTTTCGTTTTGCCTTCTTCTACACTACATGTTTCGGCCGCAAACGGCCATCATCAGGTGTATGCACTCACGTAGCTGATGATCGCCGTTTGCGGCCGAAACATGTAGTGTAGAAGAAGGCAAAACGAAAGACCTACAATAAATTGTTACACTTGGGACGGAATTTATATCATATATCGTATAGAGTGTAACAGGATGCTTAAATATAATAGGGTAGACAATATAAAATGGATCTTAGAGGGACAGGATGGAATGGGATGGGATGCATTTAATTGATCTGGCTCCGGATAGGAACCAGTGGAAGGCTCTTTTGAACACGGTAATGAACCTTTGGGTTCCACAAAATTCTGGGAATTTCTTGAGTAGCTGCAGAATTGGCGGCTCCTCCAGAAGGGCTCAGCTCCATGAGTAAGTAAGTAAATAAGGCGACCAGTTCCCTGCGCCTGTTCTGCTCGCAAGATTTTTGACGTGGTGACACTGTTAATCAAATAGTGTCTCTAGCTGCAAGGACGAAATTAAACAAGCATTCTTTTCTCGTAAGCTATATGAACACTGCTTGATACTGCTCAAGGAATACCTGAATTGTCGATCCGTTTCGTTCAGTCGGTTTACTTTAAGTAACGTGAGGTATGTGTTAGGTTAGTAAGCATAAACAGAATAAACAGATGATTTGATGCCATACAGCTGGTGAAATAAAGAATAAACTAATAAATTATTATTTTGATTAGCAGAAATTGGAGGTTCAATTTCTCTAATACCAAAGTCACCATTGGACTTCATCGTGACTGATCCATTCACCTACAGTCTACATACATAATACTAACCTTAGTGTTAGCCCCCAAACTGAACTTGTCCCAAAGACAGACTATCCTGAGGTTTTCGTCGATTTCCTCAGTCCCTCGAGTTAAAAGTTGGAATAGTCCTTCGACTGAGGCCAGGATTGCCTTCTTCCACATTCTCTCAAATTCAATGTTCTCTAATCATCCAGCCATTTGAAACTATAAGGTCTGAGATATCTACAGCATAATTAAAGAAACCATAAATAAATAAAAAATATCCTTCCATCCTACTCTCGGTCGTCCAAGTGGATTATTTTTCAAGAGGTTTCGTCAATAAAATTTTGTGCTCATTTATTATCTCTCCCGTCAAAGCCACATGTAAAATCTGCCCTCTGCTTCATAGATTTCACTTCGGTAACAAAATTAGAACGGAGAATATGATTTAATTCCCAAATACCCCTTACCTTTGCAATACTACTTGTGTTTCAGTATCAATTCCTGCTCATATAACAATAATTCGAGGAGCAGGTGACAGATCACAGTGAAAACATAGACGAAACAGATTTGATACAGTCAATACCTGTTGCCGGTAAATCTGGGAGATGCATTCTCCACACAGCAACCTGACAAACACAGATACACACTTCAGTTCATACAGAGTACAAGGTTAAGATATTATTTCACGTACCTCTTTGTGATCGAGATGCAAAACTGCTGTCAATAACCGAAAAAGATCGTCCAGAACACCTAAATCGCTTTCTCCACTACTGCAAAACTCCCTACGCAACTACACTGCTAGGTGTGTCAGTTGTGAGCAAGGAGAACAGCGAACAAGGACGGATATTCCACAGCAGCGACACTGCGCGGGATATGAGAAAACTAATGCGAATCCTAGGCAATGTCAGTGTATATAACAGCAATACGAATAAACATACTGCAATTTAAAGGAGAAAGGGAATGAGAGATTTGTCACCATTAATGCTTCTGACGGGGTTCGAACTTGGCCATAAGTACTGCCAATATGGTAAGCTTCAATAGCATGACTGATCAACTCCTGAGTTTACGAATTGTTGAATTATGCATTGAAATAATAGAATTATTATTGTCGATGTACAATTGAATAGTAAGTATATGGTTGGAAAGGGTCGTGACACCTTTTAAGGCTCTGAATGGGCCTTGAAGGGATTAAGAATTTAGTGACATATGACCGAGCAAATCAGATCAAGTGGTAATGCTCCACACTCGTAACTTACAAGATATTAAGACCTTTTTCAGACTTGTATTCGTGAGATGCCTGCTTCGAATCTCTGCCAGGTTTTCATGGGTTTCCTCGTTCCATTCAAATAGAACACCGGGATAATACTTCAAATTCTGTCACGACCGCCTCCTTTCACATACTTTACAATATTTTCATTATTCGACGCTGTATCGCCTAAGTGTCGTTAAATAAACCACATACAGACAGACAAGAAATCTGAATTGTGGCAGCCGCTAGCAGACTGGGATTATACCCATTGCCTTCAAGTGTGAATCATATGCATAACCACTCTTTCATCAGCTCTCTGTGATCGGTTTCATAGAATCGACGCAATCACTGTGGTTATTCGAGACTATCAATACACCAGACAATTCGAGCTTCATTTTGAAAGCCAACATCAAAACTAACTTCATCTACATTTTGGCAGTTCGATATTATTCACAGGCCTGATGGCTACCATGGTTAAAGAGGAATGGTTCATAGATTCTAAAGGGATCTGACGATAGTGTCTACCACTCAGAGTTCATTGGCTTTTGGATTTTGTCCATCGTCTGGTATTCTAGAAAATAGAAAATACGACGTTTCGGAAAAATCCAGTTTCCGAAACGTCGTGTTTTCTATTTTCTAGAATACCGGGCAATGGAAAAAGCCCCAAAATCAAGGAATTATTGGGTCTCCAGATCCTCTTTTGTGGAAATAGGGCACGTCATGTATGTGTGGTTAAGATTAATGAAGGGGAGACTGTAAAACGCGTACATTTACACTCAGACTTTGAATGTGTGAGGAGTGTACGTCTATTTAATATCGCGTATTCAATTACAAGTGCTTTTAAAGTCGAATAGTAAGATGTTTGTGCATGGTGAATTGGAAATAATTTTGAAGGAAGCTGTCGTTGTCTGTTTCAACCTATTACCCAGCAGTTTCGTGGAAGTGCCGAGAGAAAACTAAGGAAATCACAATCAGAATATCGATCTCTTGGCGGAGACTTGAAACCGCGAGACTCCAATACAAAGCAGAAGTGTTACCCACCAACTGTAAAACGTATTACAACTCGAATACAACTATTACTTTCGTAACCACTAACATTGTAAAATAAATTATAGGGACCGAAGAAAACCACGACTTATATTCAAAGAGAATTCCATTATCGACAGTGCCATATCAAGGCTACCAACTTGGGAAATGTCTAATTGGTTCCTACATCCCCCCCCCTTGGCACTACAGCCCCAGTGGGCCTAGGCCTACCTCCATGAACTCCGTTCACTTCGGTTTTTCTAGATCTTACACATACGGTAGGACTCCTTGGGCGAGTGATCAGCTCGTCGCAAGGCCTCTACCTGTAGACAAACACAGAAAAACGCACACAAACATCCATGCCCTGAGTGGGATTCGAACCCACGATCCCGGCTTCCGAGCGAGCGAAGACGGTGCATGTCTTAGACCGCTCGGCTACCGTGACCGGCAATTGGTTCCTACATAACATATGAAATGTAAACAGGGACAGCTCAAATCGGTATAGTGATAGCCTACGAGCTGTACTGCCGGGGTTCGATTCTCGGAAGAAGTAAGAGGTTTTGCTCTTTTCCACGGCGTCCGGACCAAGCCTCCATTCCGATGGATACAGGAAGTCTTTCTCCAGCAGTAAAGCGGCCGGGACGTGAAGCTGACCACTCACTCCACCTAATGCCAAGATCAGCATTGTCTGAAACCTATGAGTACCTATGAGAGCATTTGGAGAGAAAGTTCTAAACCCTAAACCCAAAGGACTGAAGGGCACCCCACAAGAAGAATTAAGAAGCAGTTTTAATTTATGTAACTGGAACAGGTCAAGAGCTTATTCCGTGATAAAATCAATGCTGATAGTGGCAATAACGCTGACATAAATAGGTCATCTCCCGGTACCTTACGCCTTTCTAAGACGTGATAATGCTGAAAAACTTGAGACCACATGCTTGGGCCCGTCATTCTTTCTGGACGAAACCACTATTCATCATGAAATATCTGTCGTAAATTTATTCCGTTGCCTCGTTACACTTTACATCCGTCCTTCCTTCCCCTCCAAATCCAGCAGAAGTCATACTGAGCTGGGTCGTGCCACCTGAGAAGCCAAGCAAAACGATAACCATAACAAAGCCTCCAACTTGAAAGCATTTATTTAAACGGAGTCTGGAACAGCCCTGAGGCGCTGGAAAGAGACGAGATATAAGTCGGTGGGAAAAGGCACCGTCAGTACTGAGCTGCTTCCTGCTCTGTTCTTCTTCTTGGAAATTCAAAGTTCTGTTCCCTTAACTCAGTACAGGGGCACGCGGTAGCGTAGTTGGTTGAGGCACCATGCTACAAGCCGGAAGGTCGCGGGTTCGATGCTCGATGAAGTGTTATTTTTTTTTTTCATTTTACCTAATCCTTCCCGCCCCACTATGGCCCTGGGGTCAACTCAGTCTCTCACC